CAAGTTAAACAGCCGTCACTAACGTATCTTTCAGTCTTCAGTCTGCCAGAATCAGCTACCTGGCTAGCCAGCAGTTGCTGCTTACTGCTGTTGGTCTGTACTTTGAGATAACCTTAGCTGCTGAAGTAAAGGTTATAGCCCATAGCCATGCAGCAGCTCTCCATGGTTCTTATGCTTCAGCTCAAGGGGTCCCATATGTTACTGTGCTACAGGGTTAGCTGCTAAGGAGAGTCTATAGCTGTGGCTCGGTCTTTGGCTTGGTGTGTTTTTATCCATCTTGCCATCGCCCTCATAATTCACAGCAAAACCAAAGTGGCTCCAAACACAAGACCTGTAGGTTATCATAGGATCTTATGTCTGTAGTTAGTAATGGTGTTACTAACCAACTGATAAGTAACCATCCTGCAGCAAGCTAGCTTAGTGTGGCTGGTCTCACTGGAGTACAATGTTCTGGTTGTGCGGTTCCTTTGTGCGGGGCTGCGGGCTGCCTTGTCAAGCGCAGTAGTTTAAACCAGTGAATCCCAACCGGTCCAGCCATGGGGTCCAGATTTCTCCTTAGTCATTGGTTCAAGTTACACAGAGTTTAATATATTCAGTGTCATACTTAAATTTGGCAATGTTGTCAAGCTAGTTTGCTGTCTCTGTTAGCTCTGTTATTAACTGTTATTCACTCACTCACTCTACAACAGGAAACAGCACCTTAAAAAAAAATTAAAAATTTGTGCCAGTTATTCAGTGTACTTCAAAATTAAATGTGTGTTTTACAAACTCGACACGTTCACAAGTCACTTACGGTCCATTCAGAATGGACCAATTGGAAACCACTGGTTGAAGCTGTATATTTTATTTTTAAGTAATAGGAGAGCTTAACATATCATTTGGTTTGTAATACATACCAAACCAAAAGCTAACGAACGGTTCAATACGAATATGTACAGTACAGGCCAAAAGTTTGGACACACCTTCTCATTCAATGCGTTTTCTTTATTTTCATGACTATTTACATTGTAGATTCTCACTGAAGGCATCAAAACTATGAATGAACACATGTGGAGTTATGTACTTAACAAAAAAGGTGAAATAACTGAAAACATGTTTTATATTCTAGTTTCTTCAAAATAGCCACCCTTTGCTCTGATTACTGCTTTGCACACTCTTGGCATTCTCTCCATGAGCTTCAAGAGGTAGTCACCTGAAATGGTTTTCCAACAGTCTTGAAGGAGTTCCCAGAGGTGTTTAGCACTTGTTGGCCCCTTTGCCTTCACTCTGCAGTCCAGCTCACCCCAAACCATCTGGATTGGGTTCAGGTCCGGTGACTGTGGAGGTCAGGTCTTCTGCCACAGCACTCCATCACTCTCCTTCTTGGTCAAATAGCCCTTACACAGCCTGGAGGTGTGTTTGGGGTCATTGTCCTGTTGAAAAATAAATGATCGTCCAACTAAACGCAAACCGGATGGGATGGCATGTCACTGCAGGATGCTGTGGTAGCCATGCTGGTTCAGTGTGCCTTCAATTTTGAATAAATCCCCAACAGTGTCACCAGCAAAACACCCCCACACCATCACACCTCCTCCTCCATGCTTCACAGTGGGAACCAGGCATGTGGAATCCATCCGTTCACCTTTTCTGCGTCTCACAAAGACACGGCGGTTGGAACCAAAGATCTCAAATTTGGACTCATCAGACCAAAGCACAGATTTCCACTGGTCTAATGTCCATTCCTTGTGTTTCTTGGCCCAAACAAATCTCTTCTGCTTGTTGCCTCTCCTTAGCAGTGGTTTCCTAGCAGCTATTTGACCATGAAGGCCTGATTGGCGCAGTCTCCTCTTAACAGTTGTTCTAGAGATGGGTCTGCTGCTAGAACTCTGTGTGGCATTCATCTGGTCTCTGATCTGAGCTGCTGTTAACTTGCCATTTCTGAGGCTGGTGACTCAGATGAACTTATCCTCAGAAGCAGAGGTGCCTCTTGGTCTTCCTTTCCTGGGTCGGTCCTCATGTGTGCCAGTTTCGTTGTAGCGCTTGATGGTTTTTGCGACTCCACTTGGGGACACATTTAAAGTTTTTGCAATTTTCTGGACTGACTGACCTTCATTTCTTAAAGTAATGATGGCAACTCGTTTTTCTTTAGTTAGCTGATTGGTTCTTGCCATAATATGAATTTTAACAGTTGTCCAATAGGGCTGTCGGCTGTGTATTAACCTGACTTCTGCACAACACAACTGATGGTCCCAACCCCATTGATAAAGCAAGAAATTCCACTAATTAACCCTGATAAGGCACACCTGTGAAGTGGAAACCATTTCAGGTGACTACCTCTTGAAGCTCATGGAGAGAATGCCAAGAGTGTGCAAAGCAGTAATCAGAGCAAAGGGTGGCTATTTTGAAGAAACTAGAATATAAAACATGTTTTCAGTTATTTCACCTTTTTTTGTTAAGTACATAACTCCACATGTGTTCATTCATAGTTTTGATGCCTTCAGTGAGAATCTACAATATAAATAGTCATGAAAATAAAGAAAACGCATTGAATGAGAAGGTGTGTCCAAACTTTTGGCATGTACTGTATATTGTTACACTCCTAGTAAATAATGTACTCTTACATCATCAAAGCATAAGAATTGTGAAAGATTTTTTTTGTTAAGGTTCCTTTAAGATAGTGTTCATGTATGTATCGTGGTCAGTTGTAGTGGATCGATGTATTTGTTCCTGAATCTGTATGAGATATTTTACACTCATTCTTTTTATGCCTTTGTCAACATCGGTGACAAAATTAAGGAGGAGTTTTTTACTGCCAAACACTTTAATCAAAGTGAAAATCTGTGATACCAAATAAGTTATGTAAGCAATACAAAGAGAGGGTTTTCTGTTATGAGTTGTATCATCATCATTGTCATCGCTCAATATGAATAAATAATTAAAGGATATATATATAACTGTGTTGTATGTGCGTTTGTATTTAATATAACCTTAGACTATACCTCATATTCAAAGCTGTGTTTAACAGTACAGAAGAGGCTGTATAAGAGTTTAAAAGATGTCCTTTACAACTACAATCCAGGAGTGGAAGGATGTGCTTGAATATCGCACGTAAAGTAATTACGTAAAATTTTATTTATAAAGAGCATTTAGGTTACAAAGTACTGTACAAAAGGAGAAAGGTTGAAAGAACAGTATTTTAATCATGAGAGACTTGTTTTTATAGTAAAAAGAATATTTATTGACATGTGCACATACGAACAAAAATGTGAAAAGTCTTTGGTGATTACACCCTGTAGAGATTTTATGATTTAAGGAGAGTGATGAATCCATAGTCAAATATGGAACCCCCCCCAGAATCTAGATGATGCTGCCTAAATGATGTCTGACAGCAGCAAAAGAGAGAGCTGATTTAACATTTTGCAGTGGCATCCTGATTGGCTGATAGAGATTGTGGCAAAGTTTGACTGGATTACTAGAAGAGTGAACACCCATAGTCAGCTAATTAGAGGAAGTAGTGAGAGTAGGATGGAGAGAATTGTGAATGGATGAGCACAAAGACTTCCTGATTGAACTTACACTGAGCTTCATGAGTACAATAATAACATTACAACAGAAGAAAATGGCACAAAAAAACCCCAAACCCAATAAGCAGCATCACAGCTCAAACTAGAGTACATGATTCAAGCATAAAAACACTTAGATGAAAGAGAGACCTTCAGCTGTAACCTAAAGCCTTCAGGAGAGTTTGCTGACCTGACAGCTGGGGGGGAAACTGTTCCACAGCCTGGGACCCAGAACAGCAAACGCACAGTCCCCTTGTGTTTTCAGTCTTGACCTATCAGGCCCTGTTCAGAGGAACTCAGGGGCCTAGCAGGTCACTTGTGGATATTAAATTGAATCCTTAATCTTGATCAGCAGCCAATAAAGCAACATCAGAAAGGGGGTGATGTGAGAGCGTTTTGGTGAGCAGTCTTGCTAACGAGTTTAGCACTAACTGTAACCATGTAACACCTTCCTGGCTTGGGGAAGAATGAAGGGCATTCCAGTAGTCTAAGCTTGAGGACACAAAAGCATGGATAACCATTTCTAACCATTTGAGGGATAACAGTGGATATAGTTTAGGATATTTCTTAAGTGAAAGTAGTAACTGTCTCAACGTCTTCCTCAAATGTCAACTTATAGTCAAAAGTGATTCTTTGGTTTTTAGCAAAAGATTTTCTATTTGTGGCCAATGAATCGAGGTAGTGGAAGATGTAAGTAGAAACCTGATCTGGAGTGAAAATCCATACCTCAATTTTACTGTGATTTAACTGAATTTTTTTGAGACATTCAGTTACTGATCTCGACCAGACACTTGTGCAGAATAGGTAGATTCTGCACACGGAAGTTCCTGATGTCCGCTTCCAATGGCTAAATAAAAAGAAAAGCAGTTAAGTGCTACACCAGATATTCCCACCCATTTTTCAAGCTGATCGATTAGAATAGCATGATCAATTGTGTCAAAGGCAGCAGACAAATCTAAGAGAACTAAAATAGCAATATCACCTTGGTCTAGCTGCATAAGAATATCATTTGTGACCCTCAGCAGAGCTGTCTCAGTACTGTGCTTCTGACAGAAGCTAAACTGGTATTTGTCAAATAGGTCATTTTCATAATAGGATTTTAAACATGCGATAAAAATTGTAATTAACTGCAACTGACTATTGACATGTTGCAATTTATCCTCATTTTGGAAATTATTAGTTTGACAGCCCTAATTAATAATGTTAACATTAACTTTTAAGAAGTAAATCTTGGTTTGGTGCCAGTGAACTTTGTCTCTTTCTCGACAAACTTTGCTTACTCTTCAAGTGGAACTTTTGGTACATAACAACATAGTCACCTCATCTTATTTTAGGAGTGCCTTCAAAAGTCTGCCCTTTGCTCCTGCTTACTCTTCATGTGCACTTCAGTCCAGTATCTGTATTTATTATCCAGTCAGTCCATCTGCTTATCACTGTGCTCCATAGTGGTTGACCACCATGGCTCTTAACATCCCCGGTGTGATTGCAGTGGCACTGTTCTACGTCCTGATTTTGGGGACAGGGGTGTGGGCTGCCAAAAAGTCCAAGAAGGCTGAGAGGAAAAGCCATGGAGGCAAGACTGAAGTGGTGCTGCTTGGAGACAGAAATATCAACTTGCTGGTTGGGATTTTCACCATGACTGGTAAACTGTTTTGTGGGGCTTAGAAACTTATCTGAGGCAGAGTGGGTATCACATCTTTGTATTAGTTTGGGGATTCTGCTAACAGAACATGGGCATTGTGTAAAGAGGCAGACCGTGGCCCTTGGTTGCAGTTATGTTTTTAATTCTTTTTAATTATCTGATTATCTTGGAATAACAAAAGTGTGTCCTCATATTAACAGATTAATAATCTTGTGATCTTCAGAAAAGTTTTTTTTTTTCCAAGATAAGAATAGAAACAAAAGTTAACTTCTCAATGTACAAGACTATCTATTAATGAAATCTCATCTAGATAATGAGAGAGTTGCCTCTTAACAGCAGGCATTGAAGTGAGTTCCTGGCTCATGTAGCAACTGATTAATTGATGAATTGATTGATTGGTATTGTATGCCGGGGCAGATAAGCAGGATTCCATGTTGCTCAAGACTCTGAGATCATAATTCAAGACAAAGATGCACCATGCCCAATGCATATATGATGCAGCACACTATTTTCATTGTTAGTTTTGTGACATGAATCAGCGAGGGACTAATTTCTACAGTAGCATGTGTGGTATAAAACTGTATGGACAAAATGTACATGTTGTTCTCTCAAGACATTAATTCCATTTTGAGCACATTACATCTTTATTTCGCTGTGAGACCAAAACTTATAATAACAATATAGTCACTGTACCATATTCACCGTTTATTTGGTTCAATCTTGTGCAATGACCGCCAGGGTTCTGCAAAAAATCACCGCGGCACATTGAGTATTGTGTTTTAATTGCTGTGAGTGGATGAGCTCTATTAATTAACATTATGTAGTAGAGCAAAATAAAGACTGTTCACTAACACAGTTAAAACCATCATAGTTATGTCACAGTAGTGAATGTGAGGGTACATGGTAAGGGTCCAAACACAGACGGACAGGAGGAGTTGTGATTTATCCTTAAAAATAAATAAATAAATGAAATAAAAATGCAAACAATAAATAAATACAAGTAGAAGAAGAGTCCATGGGTTACATGGGAAATGTGCAGACCGGCAGGCACAGAGTAACAGGATACAGGTTTCAGAGGCTTGAAAACAAAAGCACTGTCACGTGTCAGTTCAGAAGAGGACCCAAATGCAGACCACAGACAGTTTGAGTCTAACAAAAGGCGAGCTTTAATGTAGCTGGTCAAAGACATCCAGTAAAGGCAGGCAACTAAGGCCTTGTTTACACGGATACCGATACAAATAAAAACGGATTTTTATTTATCCCGTATAAAAAAAAAAATTCCGAGTTTACACCATCAGTTGTGAAAACGATATCCCTGTTTACACAAAAATGCAAAAACGGCAGCTTTTTGCTGCAATTAGCATGCCAGGCCAGTAGGTGGCGATACACCATATGTCAAACACCATAGAAGAATGTTCTGCGCACGCACAGTGATTTGTTTTCCTCTTGGCTCTAGTGATAAAAACAATGATAGACTACATTTTAACCTTATGTAGCATAGTGAGCTGCTATGCACTTACTAATATTGGGCACAGCAGACATCTTTGTTGGCCAATGTAGCAGTGATGTTGATGCAGCAGTGCTAAGTTCATTGGTAAGCTTGTAAGTAGTCCCAAAAATGCTAACAAAATGTAAACAACCAGGCATATATCTGCAATTGTTGTGGTTCCCAGGCACCTAATGGGCATGTGTGAACAGTGTTGCAACATCATCGTTTTCCAAAATCTCCGTCTATCCTGTTTACACGTCTCCGCAGAAACGGACATTTTTAAAAACTTTCACTTTGGAAGCCGATTTTGAAAATCTCCGTTTTTGTCGAGAAAAACACTGGTTACGTGTAAATGATAGGTGCAAATGCAAAGATATAGATAGAATACTCGTTTTCAGAAATATACAGAACCGTATAAACAGGCCCTCAAAATCCAAATGAAAGAAGAGCAAAAACCAAACGGAAAACCAACAGGTAAAAAACAAAAAGAATGGGGCAGACAAGACTAATACAAAACAGGTGTGAAGGGAAGACTGTGGCTGTGGTCAAATAGTTTTTTTTGCTTAGGAAGGTTCCTAACTGAGTGAAATGACCCAGAAGTATCTAAGTGGCAGCCATGATAAGAGCTGGTCGAATTTTCTAAATTTTAAGGAAAGGTGCTTCAGTGCTTCCTTTCTAATCTCCTTTAGCATAGGGTACACTTGACCATCCTTTACGAAAGGAAAGGAGATAATTCCATCCCACAAGTCCTTGTGGCGGCAATATTTAAAGAGACCAAGCGACACACCATTGACAAACTCAAATGATTAAGAAAGAAAAAGATCAACATGAACTAGAAAGGAAGGAGATCACCATGTAAGTTACCGTTGTTTATGAAGCATTATACATCTCATGCCATAACTTGTTCATATGCTATATGCTTTGAACTTTCAACATTATGTTAAACTTAGACATGAACTATGAACGTTCTGCTACTATTGGTGTAGCCTCCCTCCACAGCTTTGTTTAACTTGTTTTATAACAGGATAAACAAATATACAATGCATTATTTTAATTTGCCAATTTTCGTGTGAATGAGAAAAAATGGAAATCCATAATATTAAATGGCTAATTGAAATAGAAATTAAACCAAAACCAGAAACCTACTTGTTTTTCACCTTTATTCTTATAGGCCTATCTATATTATCTACCCCTACTGCATCTCAAAACATTGGCATTGGCTGTGCGGATGGGATGGGATAGATAGATAGATAGATAGATAGATAGATAGATAGATAGATAGATAGATGTTCTGCTTCTCTGTGCCCCCCCTTTTCTCTCTCAACCCAACCAGTCAAAACAGATGGCCGCCCACCTACAGCCGGGTTCTGCTCGAGGTTTCTCCCCATTAGAGGGGAGTTTTTCCTTACCGCTGTCGCCAAGTGCTGCTCATGGGGGAATTGTTGAGTCTCTGTAAATTCAAGAGTATTATCTAGACCTGCTCTATGTGAAAAGTGCCCTGAGATGACTTTTGTTGTGATTTGGCACTATATAAATAAAATTGAATTGAACTGAAAAAAAAAGGATAGATAATCAATGAAATAACGTTGCTGTGCCTCGTGTGTAAATGCGCATATAATTGGCGTATCTGGAGATTTAAATAATCAATGAAGTTACTGCTTCCCACTTTTTATTCCCCTGTACAGTGTTTCCCTGCAGAGCCACAGTGGAAGGATCATAATAAAAAGACAAAATTGGGCACTATACAAAAGACTGTAACGTTAAAAGATAACTGCTTGAGGTTATTAAATACTTGCAGCAAGCATCAGTCAATTATTCATTTGAGCGTTGTTGTATTGCCAGCCTTTAGTAATATCATTAATTAATTTTATTACTTAGGTTAGCAAACTCAGTGCCCTCTTTTAAATCATTTTCGTTTCAGTTTGTGGCTGGCAGCCTATATTCCTTTTTTTAATTCAATTCTGACCATAGTAATTAAATAATATCTTTCACCATTTTGTCCACGTTTATACAGTCAGGTCCATAATTATTTGGACAATGATACACTTGTCGTCATTTTGGCTCTGTACACCACCACAATGGGTTTTAAATGAAACAATGAATACCTGCTTAAAGTGCAGACTCTCAGCTTTCATTTAAGGCTTTTTTCAAAAATGTAGTATGAACCGTGTAGGAATTACAACCATTTCTTCACACAGTCCCCCAACTTTAAGGGCTCATAAGTATTTGGACAAACTAACACAATCATCAATTAAACAGTCAGTTTTAATACTTGGTTGCAAATCCTTTACAGTCAATGACTGCCTGAAGTGTTGGACACATAGGCATCACCAGATGCTGGGTTTCTTCCCTGGTGATGCTCTACCAGCCCTTTACTGTAGCCGTCTGCACTTCCTGCTTGTGTTTTGGGTGTTTTGCCCTCAGTTTTGTCTTCAGCAAGAGAAACGCATGCTCAATTGGATTCAGGTCAGATGATATGACTTGGCCGTTGCAGAACATTCCACTTCTTTGCCTTAAAAATGTCTTTGGTTGCTTTTGCAATATGCTTCAGGTCAATGTCCATCTGCACTGTGAAGCATCATCCAATGAGTTTTGAAGCATTTAGTTGAATCTGAGCAGATAATGGTGCCCCAAACACTTCAGCTTTCATCCTGCTGCTCTTGTAAGCAAGACAAGACTTCACTAGAATAAATACAGAGGGTTTATCACAAGATGCAAACCATTGGTTAGCCTTAAAAATGGAAGGCCAGATTAGAGTTTGTCAAAAACCATCTAAAAAGCCTGTACAGTTGTGGAACAGCATACTATGGACAGATAAAACAAAGATCAACTACCAGAATGATGGGAAGACAAGAGAAGGAAGAAGGGAAGGAACTGCTCATGATCCAAAGCACACCACCTCATCAGTGAAGCATGGTGGCGGTACTGTTATGTCATGGCCATGTATGGCTGCCAGTGGAACTGGTTCTCTTGTATTTATTGATGATGTGACTGCTGACAAGAGCAGCAGGATGAAAGCTGAAGTGTCTGGGGCACCATTATCTCCTCAGATTCAGCCAAATGCTTCAAAACTCATTGGACGATGCTTCACAGTGCAGATGGACATTGACCTGAAGCATACTGCAAAAGCAACCAAAGACATTTTTAAGGCAAAGAAGTGGAATGTTCTGCAAAGGCCAAGTCATATCATCTGACCTGAATCCAACTGAGCATGCGTTTCTCTTGCTGAAGCCAAAACTGAGGGCAAAACACCCAAAACACAAGCAGGAAGTGCAGACGGCTACAGTAAAGGGCTGGAAGAGCATCACCAGGGAAGAAACCCAGCATCTGATGATGCCTATGTGTCCAACACTTCAGGCAGTCATTGACTGTAAAGGATTTGCAACCAAGTATTAAAACTGACTGTTTAATTGATGATTATGTTAGTTTGTCCAAATACTTATGAGCCCTTAAAGTTGGGGGACTGTGTGAAGAAATGGTTGTAATTCCTACACGGTTCATACTACATTTTTGAAAAAAGCCTTAAATGAAAGCTGAGAGTCTGCACTTTCAGCAGGTATTCATTGTTTCATTTAAAACCCACTGTGGTGGTGTACAGAGCCAAAATGACAACAAGTGTATCATTGTCCAAATAATTATGGACCTGACTGTATATCCTGCATGAAACAACACGATGAGAACATACGGGGCGCATTATCTAAGATGCGCTTTTAGTAGTCCATCTTCAGAACATTGTAGTTTCACCACAGCAGACCCACGTCAATAACATCCGCTGTCGCATAATTACGTAGCGCAGTGTAAGTGCAGTCGGATTCTCTCAGCACCGCAGTTGTCTTTTCCTAAGTCCTTATGAATTCTCCTTCACATCTTCCCTTGACCTCGTGACGTTTTCCATCAAGGTCAAGGAAAAGTGGTTAGGAAAAGACAATAGGAGGCACTTTTCGACCGCAGCCTCAGGGAACAGGCAAGTACTAATGAGACAGGTGTGACAGAAAACAGGCGGGAAACACACATAGAAGTAAATCCAGACATGACACATGAGGAGAGAATCTTCAAAATAAAACAGGAAGCAGATAAAACATGAATAAATAACATGAAACAAGGATCACAAACTGATTCTTTATTCTGTTATCCATAGGATAGCTTTTTAAATGATGTATGATTTTGTTGTTTAACAACTTACTTGGGCAGCTGTGGCTCAGAGGTAGAGCGGGTCATCTACCAATCGAAAGATCAGCAGTTCAATCCCCAGCTCACCCAGTCTGCATGTCGAAGTATCCTTGAGCAAGATACTGAACCCCAAATTGCTCCCGATGGCTGTTCCATCTGTGTGTGAGTGTGTTAAAACTGAGTAGCAGGTGGCACCTTGTATGGGTAGTCTCGACCACCAGTGTATGAATGCGTGTATGAATGGGTGAATGTGACTCGTAGTGTAAAAAGCGCTTTGAGTGGTGGGATGACTAGAAAGGCGCTATACAAATGCAGGTCCATTTACCATTTACTTGATGATTAGAGGGGCTGCTTTCTGTAATTGTAAAAATGTTTCTATTTGTGCAGTAATTTCACTTCAGCAAATTCTGTGGTACAATTAAGCAGCAGAACTACAAACGTAATAAAAAAAACTTGACAGAGAAAACAGAGCTAAACTTTTAGCTGCTGAAATAATCAGTGAAGTTTTATAGCTTTTCCTTGTGCAAAATGTGCACAGCTTTTCCCTTACCTGTAAGTATTAATTAAACTCAGTATCATTAAGCATGATGATTTGGTAACATACGACACTGACATTGGCTGGTTTTGAATAAATGAACATTGGCAATAATGGCAACAGGTATTTATTCTTTCGTTAACCTGTGTGTGTGTGTGTGTGTGTGTGTGTGTGTGTGATTCTTCCTCAGCTACATGGGTTGGAGGTGGTTTTATCCTGGGTATTGCTGAAGCAGTGTACTCTCCTAAAATGGGATTAATATGGGCTCTTATACCTGTACATTACATCCTGACCTTCACCATAGGTATGACAAGTCACACACTTCAAAGGCAGAGGGCTGGATAACAGATAATTTACACATAATACACATCATTTAAAGTAATAACTAGGTAAATGAGGGACATATAAGAAACTCACAACAAGTTAATGGTCAGTTTTTGAATAACTCCCAATGAAATGTCATAGAGTAGGTAATCATTAGTTAGTTCAGTCAACTGAGAAAAGGGCTGAGAGAACTTATACGAATGAGGAAATATCAATTAATGGTTAGTTTATGAATTAATCCAAATCAAATGTGTGAGTAGCTGACCATCAGTTATTGATTAGTTAATTGAGAAACAAGTAAGGAACCTAATGGGTAATGAATGACAAAATATCAGTTAATGGTTAGTTAGTTTTTGAGTTAATCCCAATCAGATGTCACATAGTAGCCAACCATTAGTTAATGATTAGTTAATTAAGAAACAAGTGAGGGACCCTAATGAGTAACAAATAAGGAACTAACCTTTAGTTTATGGTCATTTCTTGAGTAACTCCCAATTAAATGCTGTAGAGTTATATATTATTTAGTTAATTGAGAAAAAAACCGAGGGAACTAATAAGAAACAAATGAGGACATTAGTTAACCATTAGTTAATGATTAGTTGATTGAGAAACAAGAGAGAGAACTAATGGGGAATTAATTAATTAACTATTAGTTAATGGTTAGTTCTTGAGTAACTCCCAATCAAATGTAATAGTACTGAAGTTCTCAATTAGTACTTAATTATTACCTGACAATTTGACATCTTTATTGTGTCTCCTTAAAGGGGCAATAAGCGGAAAGTCATAATCTCTAGATTGAAGGAATTAAAAAATCGCTATGTGAAGAGCTAGAGGTGTAATTTCATCTGAAGTATAGCATGACGTCACACACCCTCTCTCTGCGTTGATCTCCAGCCCCTTGTTTACAAGCCGGTCCAGCTGCGAGGTCATGTACATTCATGTGAATCGCCGCCTCCTCCTTCCTCTCGGAGCCCTTGGCCCTCCCTCCCTATAAAAGGCTACAGCCAGTGAGCAATGGCAGTGCGTATTTTCAAAGCGAAATGGCGGAGAGCGGAACAAAACGTTCACCTGAAGACGACCAGGATCCGACATTACCTCTAAAGAAACAAAAGTCGTTGAAGAAGAAATTGTCAGATAAAGAAAGGGACAGAAACCAAATTAACATTGGCCTTGCATTTCCAAGGTGGAGAGCACTGCGAGAGCTAAAGGGCTACAATTTGACCTGGACAGGTAACGTTAAGTAACAACATAAAGTCAAATGTATGTTTTAATTAGTGTTACAGTAACGTTAGGCACATGTCGCTATGTCGATTCAATTAAATTTAATGTTACAATCGTAGCATGGGTAAATGTCCAGAGCTTGAGTTATTAGCAGCTCTGTCCCAGCAATGGGTCAGTCGTTTCGGTTGTGTTAGGGGAGTAGCCTGGCAGCCCAGCTAATATTTGCAATTAGCATTGTAAAATGTAGCCCGGCTAAAACATTGCTCTCACTCACAGAGAAGAGTAAGAACGTTAGCGTTAGCTCCTGGCGTTATGGTGCGTTTGTTTTGTACTCGCAGGTCGGAAATTCCCAGTTCCCAGTCGGAAGTTTAAAATCGAACGCACCCTGAGATCGGATTTCCAACTAGGAAACTCAGAGCAACCGCATCAACCCCGACTTATGAATTCAAGATGGCTGCCGGTCACATAGTGAGTAAACACTGCTAAAGTACTGTTTATAGCAATTTTATCTTATTTGTTTTACATTAGGTCAGCCTCATCTGCGGCTTTCATCAGTTGGAGTGCATGGTGGTTTTGAAGCTGTCTATACTCCGAAAGTGCAAGGGCAACAAAGGCTTTCTTGTGGGCGTCCATGTTTTTTTCCGACTTGTCCACCGTTGTCAACTAGAATGCAAAAATTGTTGTCAACTCGGAGGTGACGTCATTCCTGCTTCCGACTTCCAACCTCCGAGTACAAAATGAACGCAGCATTAGCACTAGCCGGGATCCGGCGATGGCTCTAGCCGAGTTGGCTGCCACCGGCTACTGGAGTAACTTACAGCTATGGAGCGCTTCTACCAGCTCTTCTAATCACTGAGCCTCGCCTCCATCTCAGCAAATATATTACATTTATTACAGGTATCATCATCACTGAAGTAGGCAGGGGAATAGCTAAACACAGCAGAGACCGAGAGTGAGTGAAAGACATCACTAACTGCTAAACTAAGCTTAGACGAGGCGAGTGGGGGGTGGGGGGTGGAGAGCAGAGGTAGAGGGAGGTGTGGGTCATGACACACTTTGTTTTGGTCTACAGGCAGTGTGCAACAGCAAATCTAGCGGTGAAACGATTTCGCTTTTTGCCCCTTTAAGATAGGTGCATCATACTGACTAGTTAAATCATTACTGAATCATTACTTATTACTGCTGCAAACCTACAGTATATCTAAACCACATGAGAACATTAATTTTCAATAAAAAGATTTGGCATTTATGAAAAAACACACAGTAACATTCATTCATTTATTTACCATGACCACTTATCCTGTTGAGAGTCTCTGGGTCGCTGAGCCTATCCCAGCTTTCATTGGCGAGAGGCGGGATACACCCTGGACAGGTTGCCAGACTATCGCAGGGCTAACATATAGAGGAAGACAGAGAGAGACAGAACCATTCACACTTACATTCACACCTATGGGCAATTTTAGGCACCAATTAACCTAACCTGCATGTCTTTGAATTATGGGAGGAAGCCAGAGTACCCGGAGAAAACCCACGCTGACACGGGGAGAATATGCAAACTCTGCACAGAAAGTCACAGCAAGTAACAGTGCCTTTAAATTTAAATATAACCCCAGTGAAAAATGCAAGCTAATTAACGAAGCAATAGTTTGCATTTCTTGAAATTGAAGTACCTATCCATAGACTGTTTTTTACAGTAGATGGCAAATTTAATGCACTGTTCCTCCTATAGTATGTGTTGGGGATTAGACCTCTTAAAACCTGTTTGTGGGGAAACTGAACAGAACAGATAGATTTCAGGTCTTTACTGGCAACATGAAGATAGTAAAAATTGTGCATAATTTTTAGTTTCTGTAATTAAACAAAAGCATTCATATCTGCAAGTTATTACTAAATATTAACTCAAGGCATTTAGCAGGTATAAAATGAAATCTGCATACTTTCTAGGTGAATGTTTAAACATCAAAAGTTGCAATAACCACTATTACCATAATATCACACTGAAACAACATCAATAGCATGCTCACAGCAACACAAGTGAGTTAGCTTGGCTTGCCAATAGCTAAACACTTAGTTACAGTACAAATCTTACTGACGTCAGTGCAATAAACATACCCAGCATCGGTGAGTCAGTGTAACATTATAAAATACAGAGAAAGATTCAAGTTACATGAACCTCATAACAGTAGTACTATAATTTACACCATCAGTGACCTCTGCACCACCAACAGATACAATAGAAACACAACAAATAATAAGCAGCATGCAAAAGAAGTGGAAACAAACCCAAAATTACAAATGAAAAGTATTTCAACACGGAAGTCTCTAAACGCCCCAAAAATCACAACAGTATGTTTTTCTTCTTTTTTTTTTTTTTTTTCTCTTCTTTCAAGGGTTTTCAAAAATAATCACCTAGGAAAAAGGTGGAGAGGATAAACACCAGCTTTTATCCTGACCACATGGACTGGCAAGACCATCTCTGCATTAGGGCAAGTGCTGGGGCGGATGTGAAGGGACTGAACACTGGCTTAAGTCCTGGCCACATGGATCTTCTTGAGATCCCAAATGCCCTTTTCTACCTGTTGTGGTTCAGAGGAGGTGCTGGGTGTACCAGGCAAGTGCCAAGGGGCTCAGGAGGAGCCACTGGGGTCCTAGGATCCTGGATAGGGTCACTGACCAGAACTTTTCACTGTGATTACACTATGATTACATGTGACAATAAAGGTTCTCCAGCAACTTAAAGGTATCTATTAAGTCCTTAATTAGGAATTACTGGGGAAGTGGCCTACTCATTTCTCAATTAACTAATCATTAGTTACTTTATGACATTTTATTGGTCACTGAAGAACTGACCATTAACTAATAGTTAGTTCTTTATTCCTTTCTCATTAGTTCCCTCAGTCACTTCTCAATTACTAATCAGTAACTACTGATTAGCTACTTTATGGCGTTTGATCCAGAATTACTCAAGAACTGACCATTAACCAATAGTTAGATCCTCATTCGTTCCCTAGGAACTACTCTAAATTTTGTGTACCATTGTAAAGTGTTACCAAAGGCTGTACTGGTCTTGATCATGTTGGACATAATCTTATCATTTCCGGGTGGCTCATTTTATCTGTTTCATAAGTATTTAAATCAACAGCTACAGTAAATGCACAACACATAACAGTTGGGGATTACTTTCGGGAAATGATGTAAAGGATACCAATAACTTATATTACGCAATGCCCACAACATCCAATAATTACAGAACATAGTGCAACCTGTGCAACACAAAGTTAAGATTTCAATAAATTATTCAGAGTAAATACAGTATAAACTTTAATATCTCATCCAATGCAAAAGGTGGTCTTTTCTTTGCCAAGCCAATGAGGGATAAGGAGTATGTCACCATGATGGACCCATTCCAGATAAAGTATGGCAAAATACTGAGTGGTGCTCTAGTGCTGCCTTCTCTGTTGATGGATGTGCTGTGGGTGACGTCTACTCTGCTAAGCTTAGGTAAACATTTATACCTATCTTTTTAAGCAAAACATTTTCAATTAGTAGAGGCAAATGAAGCATTTCCATTACTGTTTGTGGGTTTGTCTAACAGGATCAACTATGAGAGTGATTCTGGACTTGCCCTATGCCTATTCTGTTTGGATCTCATCAGCTGTGGCCATTATCTACACATTGCTAGGAGGCCTCTATTCGGTGGCGTACACTGATGTTATCCAGCTCTGTTTAGTTTTCCTCAGTTTGGTGAGTTACACTGCCTTATACAGTAGCACATGTTCATTTTAATGATACAGTGTCTGCAGGTATGTGACATCTAGTATAAAGCTCTACCAACCGATATGTATTTAACCTTCATCTTGATAGCACAAGTGAATGCTAGACAAAATAGTAAAATTATTGAAACCATGTCACACATGACAAAAACAGCTACTGCAATCCTGCAAAATCTCCATGGCCTACTAGTGAAAGGGGCATATCATGTAATATCAATGCTCCCAGTTTGATTCCAACTAGGAAATTTTGTCACATGTCCATCCCTCTGGCTTTCTCTTCATGTTTCCTGTCACTGTCCACTGCCAACAGTTGAAGGCAGAAAGCCAAAAAAAAATCTTAAAATAGTCACCACAATCCAATTAACCATGAACAGCAATTGACAGCATGGTAGATACTGCCCTGTCTGCAACAGAAGTACTTTAATACAGAGTTCACATCTTTTGAACCTTTCAATGAAAAGAAAAAGAAAAAAACAAAAACACAGAAAACCAAGACTTCCAAAAACCATATAGGCCAAACAGCAGTGGTGTTAGGTATGGTGTGTAAACACAATGGATTGAATGCAAAGTCATATTTGTTTAACATCTGACAAAATAACTAACTTATTGTGATAAGGTCTTCAGTCTGATGATCTCAATATATGTTTCCAGTGGTTGTGTATCCCATTCCTGATGCTCAACCCAGCATCTACAAACATTGCCCAGACTGCGTTCAACCACACGTTCCAAGAACCCTGGGTTGGCACTCTGGAGCAGGACAAAATCTGGAAGTGGATTGATGACTTCTTAATGATTGTAAGAGCAATATTCATGAGTATCATACTTTCCTGCTTCCATCCATAAACTCAGAGCAAACCTACATTTCAGTGGGACTGTCAAAACATCAACAATGCCTTTACATACTCTTAATTAGCTGAATTTTCAATGTCATGTAAATAAGAAACCTTGTTTGTGTGATTAGGTAGGAGATTAGAGAAACCAGATCTCCCCAGTTAGATTCCTCCTGGAGAAAGATGATTTCTTGGCAATGTAGACATCCTAGGATAGAGTGCAAACCCTGAATAGGAGTAAATGTCATGAGAATAAGTGAATCACAGTGGAAAATTTTGCTTTGTTTGTGCAGTATTAGACATCTGCACGCAGCCTTGTTTCTTCTTGAACTCATTCACTAAAATCGTCCTTCAGTCTGAGGGGAACAAAGGGCAGTACTAGTGTATTAGTACTTTCATTCTTTGCTTATCTTCCTCATCTTGTCTTGTCCTCAACATGCACCTCTTCCTTGTGCTCTTTTTTTCAGGGTCTTGGTAGTCTTTCATTTCAGAGCTTCCATCAGAGGACACTGTCTGCCAACTCATCACAAACTGCCCAGATTACCTGCTATGCTGCTGCTCTTGCCATCGTCATACTTGGAATCCCCCCTACCTTGGTTGGGGCTGTAGCTGCCTCTACAGGTAGGAATTCGGTTAGAGATGACAGAGGTTTATTACAGACATACAAAATGTGGCCAGGAAGTATATGTATTGTTTGGCCAAATAATATACAGAATGTCTGTAAAATACTCTACAGGCCACAGACAGTTTGCTCACAGAGCTATAAACAGGAACCTGGAACACATTGAGCCTATTCCTGCTTCCTAAATTGTCATCTATTATAGGTTGTGGTTTAAGGCAAAACAAATAATACTGGTTGTTGAATGTTAAGAGAGAGATTTTTTCATTCCATTGATTTTAAAAGCTGATAAAATAAAAGCTGATACAACTATTTTGTGGTGTCAGTGATTGTTTGGATTGACCTTAGGGTCATCTTATGACAAACTGCAGATGCTGTGTTTGCAGGTTTCCATGAAGCAGGCATTTGTGACTTCATTATTAGCTTTGAGCTTTAACAATACACAAATTATATAATGGAATCAGGTAGTCAGGTGCTGGTAGGCAGCAGGGACATGTGTAATCAGCTTGACAAACAAATCCTCCGCACACTGACATAGACTTTACTATACTTTATTTGAGGGAACAACGCGGTTCGCGTTCCGCGTTCCGCGTTATCAGGTTCACCTCAAATTATACAATGTTTACTTTAATCAATTCATGGTTACACAAATGTAATCATTAATTATTTCTCTCATCCAGACTGGAACCTGACGCTGTATGGTTCTCCATCTCCATATGTACGTGGTGAGCAAAGTTTGGTCCTGCCCCTGACCCTACAGAACCTCACTCCATCTTACATCTCAATCATTGGAATCGGAGCTGTGGCCGCTGCTGTCATGTCATCTGCAGACTCTGGCCTGTTGTCTGCAACTTCTGTTTTCTCTTCAAATATCTACAAGAACATTCTGCGCAAACAGGTAAGGAGTTTCTCTGAAAATGAGTGTTAGGTGCACAACTGTTGCTAATTAATTAAGTACAAACTTTTCAAATCCAAATCCATCTATTTTGGAAAGCACAGGTTTACAAATTAATAATGAACTGTCTCCTTTTGTATGACTTCATGTCTCTAGGCATCAGACAATGAAATTCAATGGGTAATACGGGTCACAGTGGTGGTGGTGGGTGTGGTTGGGACATCCATGACGTTCTACACTAACAGCCCCCTGGTCCCCTGGATTCTCGGAGCAGATACCGCCTACACCCTCATATTCCCCCATCTGGTTTCTGTGCTCTTCTTTAAAGTGACGAATGGTTACGGTGCCACGGTGGGTTACATCGTAGGGCTGACTGTAAGGGTTTTGCTGGGGGAGAATTCTGTAGGTCTTCCTGTTGTTCTTCATCTTCCTGGTTGCACACTGGAAGATGGCATCTACATCCAAAAGTCTCCTATCAGGACAATCTCCATGTTGTGCACTTTGGTAACCATCTTAGTTTTTTCTTCGCTGGCTTTGTTCATATTCAATCATGACCTGTTGCCTGAGAGGTGGGATATTTTCAACGTAAAGCATAATGTTACTGTGTCACCTGCGGATCCTGTCACGCAGATTCTCAAGGAAGAGGCAGGAAGTGATGCTGAGTGTGATGAGAACAGACATGGAATTGCCTTACAGCCAGTGTTGCAGACTGGATCATAATCAGTTGTCTTTTGTTGTGAAAAGTTGCTGGCCTGAATTTTAAAGTGAGCTTGATAAGTGTGTGTATTTACAAAAAATACATAGTAACTCTTTTTAAGCTGTTAACTGCTAAAGGTTGCTGATGAAGTAATTTACAATCATAAAAACATAAACTTTCTTTCTCTGTTATAAATATTTGTTTTGTGGAACAACGTTTCATTAAAAAGCAATCATTTCAAAATACAGTTGATTACTCAAAATAAAAAAGGTGTCATTCTTTCAAAAGTTAATAAGTCTAAATGGATGGATGATACAATAATCATCAGAAGATATACCCATATATTCTGAGATATCAGCCTCTGAGATTTGTTGCTAGCCAAATACGATGGAGATGAATAATATTTTCATATGTACTCTTCAAAGAATTGATGATGTTCAAAGAGTCAGTGTCTTTCCAGAACCAGCGTCTCTCAATTTGTGTGATTCACAGACTTCGCCTCAAGCAGTTTTTGGTATATAAGGGCGGTGACACATACCCATCACTACATGAAATGTACTGTGGCTGGCAGGCCTGGAATTTTGTCATTTTAGGGCCAAGGCCACTTGGCCTTTCGTGTTGTCAATTTTTTGAGGGCACAAAGGCCAAAAGCCAGGGCAGCAAGGCCATAAAATAAAGCAATGATTTTAAGTCCACATCCATAATGAATTTAATTTAAGGACTAAGGATGTATAACTCTCTGTGAAATGAATAAATAAAACAAGCTCAAGTAATAATAATGAGTATAATAAGTAATAATGTGATTTATTTCATAGTACTAATAAACCCAATGTGTTTTAAATATAGAACAACCAGATTCATGTATTTATAGGCAAACAATCTTAAATATTAGGCCTAAATACTTTTTGAGGGCGGCACGGTGGTGTGGTGGTTAGCACTGTCGCCTCACAGCAAGAGGGTTGCTGGTTCGATCTTGGGTGTGGGAGCCCTTCTGTGCGGAGTTTGCATGTTCTCCCCGTGTCAGCTTGGGTTCTCTCCGGGCACTCCGGCTTCCTCCCACAGTCCAAAGACATGCAGATTGGGGACTAGGTTAATTAATAACTCTAAATTGTCCATAGGTGTGAATGTGAGCGAGAATGGTTGTCTGTCTCTATGTGTCAGCCCTGCGATAATCTGGCGACCTGTCCAGGGTGTACCCTGCCTCTCACCCAATGTCAGCTGGGATAGGCTCAAGCCCCCCCGCGACCCTCAAGAGGATGAAGCATTTAGAAGATGAAGATGAATACTTTTTGAGTGTACATGATAAACTGAGTCACTGAACAAAACTGGCTTACAATTATTTTTGATGTGTTGTTAGATAGCTAACAAACAAACAAACTACAGCAGGGCTATTCAATTACTATTTAAACTGGGCCGCATTTTAAAACCAGACATTAACGGTATTTAATAACACACACTATCTCTCTACCAGCATCTCCCTCTCCCCTCTCCTCCACACACACACACACACACACACACACACACACACACACACACACACACACGCACACACCTCACCCCCTGATGCTTTCCTTATAGGTCAGTTACACAGGATATAGTTTTATACAGTCCATGGCAGCAACAGTCATGTTTACAACAACACCAAAGTCACTATTTAAAACCCAATAATATCTGACTGGAATATAAATATTCCTCCTGACATCACAATACTGAGTGAAGAAAGTCACGTTATCTCAGCATGAAGACAAACATCAGTATCAGTCATTCATCCTGCTCTCTGTCCCTCCTCTACTGAGGACACTCACTGTCTGCAGGTCGGCTGTCTCAGGTACATGGTCAGATAAAGTGTTAGCCTACATACAGCTTTCATTTTAGTTTGTCTTTAACACTTTGCCGTTAGCCTTGCGAGCGCGATGTGCTTGTGTCGACCGGCCGCGATCATAAACCATAATAGTGGTGAATGAGAGAATCATATTTCAACGACAGAGTGGGTTGAAATATGGCTTTTTACATGCTGATCACGTGTACTGATAAAGTATTGGCTTGGCTGGCAGAGGCCATGGCCCTCGTGGCCCTTGTGAAATTCCTGCCCAGGTGGCTGGTGTTAAAATAGGACAATACTTCACATACCATGACACATTGAGACAGCATTGCCATTAAAAGTTTTAATATTTTAGCTTTTTGTTGTCCTCTGAAATGTAACTTACAACCGCATGTTACATGTCACCCTCAAATATGGAGAAAATGCAGACAATCTGGACAATTACTAAAATAATTACATGAAGCAATACACTGTAAAACATCATAGCCCCATTTAGTTATGTCCACTTACTTTCTCTTTTTAACTCAAAGAGCTCTGACAAGTTTGGGATTGTTGAGTTTTTGTAAGTTAAACTTACAATGATTCATTGTGTTGACTATTTGAGACTTTTGTCAGAGCTGTTTGTGTTAATTAAACTTGGGTTTGTAAGTTTTCAGATGGAAAAAAAAGAGAAAAGGCAGGAGAGGGGTGATGGGAACTAGAGCAAAAAGAGTTGCTGTGACATTTGAGTTTGAGAGACTGTTTTCTTTAAACCATGGCAAGGTTGAAGCATGGAAATAAGCTACTGATTATACACTTCATATAAGACACGCATTTGAGTTCCAACTAAAACATAGACTTTTTGTGGTAAAAAGAAAGGACATTACTGCCACCTAAGTGCCACCAGCGGAGGGAGTCTATAACCTGCAGAGCAACTCAACGTTACTGTCAGCATCGAGGAGAGAGGAGCCACTGATGATTTGAACCTGTGATAGGCCACTGTGACACGGCAAACTGAATTTGAATGGCATGTGCAGGCAAAACCAAAACACATCAAGCACACTTCACTGACAAAAAAATAAAAGCTCACACACCCTCACACTGATGTCATAGTTGTGACAATCTATGCAGTGGAAGGATGCAAATACTTCTGAAAACGGTGCTACAGAACCAGAGAAAACAGAGGAAAAGAACACTTTTGTTTAAGAGGTAGAAAACCTAGAACTATCAGAATGTACTGCGCTGCACCGGACCAATAAATGCTCCCACTGGAGGGTGACATGCAAACATGTCCATCTGACACAATGGCAGTCAGCTGGAAAGAAACAATCTCAATCTGTTACAGTTAAACGGTAAGCTAAAACATGTTTCTGAAAACATTTGAGGCGAGAAATAGGCAACTCAGTGTCCCAGTATACGAACGAGCACAGGAGGGGAATCGATTTATTGACTGAAGTATGTCAGTTTATGAAATTCCAATATCTGTTGTGGAGAGAATGGAAAGGTCGGTTAGCTCCTACATTAGGAAGTGGTTGGGCGCTCCTAGGTGCCTAAGTAGTGTTGCATTGTATGGAAAAGGGATACTTCAGCTGCCAGTATCTAGTTTAACAGAGGAATTTAAATGTACCAAGGTCAGGACAGAGCTCTTGTTATCTGGGAGTAAGGACATGGTAGTTAGGAGTGTGGTTCCAAATCCAACCAAGGGGAGGAAGTGGAACCCAAGATCAGCAGTTCAGGAGGCAGAGGCAGCTCTTAGACATGCAGAGATTGTAGGTAATGTTCAGTTTGGCCGGGGAGGCCTGGGGCTTGGCTCAGGTAAACCGGTATGGAATACAGCAGGCCTCAAAGATAAAAGAAAGCTGGTTGTAGAACAGATACGCAGACAGGAAGAGATAGTAAGGGGTGCAAAGGTAGTGGCCCAGGCTAAACAGGGAAAGTGGTTGAATTGGGAAAGTGTAGAGAAGAGGAAGCTTAGTTGGAGGGACCTGTGGAGTATGGAGGAGAATCGTATTAGATTCCTGGTAGGGGCTACATACGATGTGTTACCAACCCCCCAGAACCTAAAACTGTGGGTAAATGAGGACCCATCATGCCCATTGTGTTCACGTACCGCAACTTTAAAGCATATTTTGTCAGGCTGTAAAGTTAGCTTGTCACAAGGCCGATATACATGGCGACATAATCAGGTGTTGAAATATTTAGCTGCAGGCATCGAAGGGAAACGAAGACAGGTGAATTCAGAAGGTGTTAAGGATAGGGGCTTAGTAATTCAGTTTGTCCGTGAGGGAGAGAAATACAGAAGGGATAAGTTAGTGAGGAGGCAAGGGTGTGGCCGCCTAGAAGGTGCTTGTGATTGGGAAATGCAAGTAGATTTAGGGGGAAAGCTTGTTGTTCCTCAGGAAAGAGTCTGTACCAGGCAGAGGCCTGACTTAGTGTTGTGGTCAGTGAGTCAACAGATAGTTTATTTCATTGAGCTGACAGTTCCTTGGGAAGACTCAGTGGAAGAAGCCTATGAAAGAAAAAAGCTTAGATATGCAGACTTAGGAGCAGAAGCTGAGCAGCGAGGATGGAAAACTAGGATTTGTCCAGTGGAAGTGGGGTGTAGGGGATTCATAGCAAGATCAACTGTCTCACTCCTGGGGGAACTCGGAGTGCGGGGACAGAATTTGAGGAAGACAGTGAGGGAAATGTCAGATGAAGCAATTAAATGCAGCCAGTTTATCTATTATAGAAGAAATAATGTCAGCTGGGGGCCAGCAGGGGGAACTACTAAGCAGGGCACATAACTCCTTGAGATCAGGTGGAGAGATCCACTTCCTGTCAGGAGAAATCCGGGAAGAGGAAGTATTTAAGTGTGGGAGTGGCCTATTGGAATCCGTTTTGTTTGAGGCCATGCGGCAAGGTGAGTGTGCTTGCTGATCCTGTAAGTCCAGTTAGCGCCTTTAACTTTAGCTTATATTGTAGTTATGCTATGTAGAGTGTGAAATAGAGTATGGTGAATGTGACAGGAAAGCTAGTATCAGCATTGCTTCTGCCTGGAGCTCACATGTATGGAGCCTGGGTTTGGTTGAAGATGGCAGTGCTGTTTGGGCTGAGAAAGCCATGTGTAAGTAAGGAGGAAATCCAGGAAGAGGGAGGTTATTTAAGTGTGGGAGTGGCCTATTTGAATCCATTTTGTTTGAGACCATGCTGCAAAGTGAGTGTGTTTGCTGATCCTGTGAG